GTGACGGCTGGCCGTGTCATCTGTAAAATGGGAACCACCCACCACTATTAGAAGAAACACAATAGTGTGGTTTTTAAAAAAAAAAAAAAATTTTTTTTAAATGTGGAAGGCAGAGTTAGAGAGATGGAGAAAGATTTGCTACCCCAAATGGCCACATGGTTGGGGCTGGTCCACACCAAAGCCAGGACTTTATGTGAGACTCTCACGTGGGTGCAAGTGCTCAAGGACTTGGCCATCTTCTGCTGCTTTCCCCGGTGCATTAGCAGGGAGCTGGATGGGAAGTGAAGCAGTCAGGAATCAAACTGGTGCCCATACTACAGGCAGTGGCTTAAAATGCAACCTCACAATGCTGATCCCAAGTGGTATACATTCCTAATAACTTCGCTTAGCCTAAGTCAAACCATGATGCCAGGGCCCAGACCCTATGTGCAAAGCAGGTCAAATGAAAACACTGATGAGCTTGCTTAGCAAAGAGGAGCGGAACAGGTTCTTATTTCTGTGCAAGAAAGAATCCAGACAAGAGTGGCAGGTAGGCTGGCAAGGTTTAACAGCATAGGGCCAATTCTTCCTGTCTCTTTCCTCTTTCTCGATAAAGGATTTGTTGGGTGTGAATTAGGTAAAATTCCTTCCAAGGTTTTACAGCCAAATGTTATGGGATGAGTTGCCTACCAGGTGCCAGGCAGAAGGGATCCATTGAGGGACGTCTGGGGCCACCCACAGAGCTGCCAGAACATGGGTAGTACTTTGTAAGGTGAAATACCAGGGCTGCTTCTAACGGTGGTTCCAGCCTGCTACCATCTTTTTTAAAGTAACTTTGGCTTTCAGGACCTCACTCACACATGGGCTAATTTCCATCTTCCCAACAGTTTCAACTGTGACACAGAGTAACCCTCTCTTCCCTCCCCTATTTGCCCAGAAGCACCCAACCCCATTCATTCCCTGCCCTCCCAATGCTGTGTATGTTTAGAGTTGTTCAAACTGGGGAATGATGGAGAAACTAAACTTATGAGAGCCCGCCTGCTTCCACCTGCTGGTCACTGCTCTCGAGAGCGGGTTTCATAAACACCTCACCCTGGACCTCCTTCATGTTTCAGAGTCACCCCTTGGTGGGGAGGTGATCTCAGACTTAATTCCTATACCACCAATACACTGTGGGGGCTTTCAGAAGAACCAAGACACCAGACACTCAACACCTGGTCCACAGATGACAGCAGGCCAGACCAAGGCCTGGTTCCATCTCTGCAGGGCCACAGCTCGCATATTCCTGAGGAAGTCTCCCAGTGAGACTGGATCCATTCTCAAGCAATGCCCTGGACAAAAAGCATCCTTGATTACTCTAATACTTTAGCACACACCTGCTTCTGAGAGGACAGAATGCTGTGTATATGTCACACACAAAGAGGAATCAGACAGTCAGGGTTACGGGAGCAGTGTGGGGGCAGGATTCTGCAGGCATTTGAGGAACAAAGCAACAGGGGGCGCTCCCCCAACATTCTTTCAAAAAAACCTCCCCAAATCCAATGCTAGGACACTGCACAGCACTGGACTGGCTGCATTTGCCGGCACTGCCAAGACCCAAGGCAAGTACATGGGGTTCCCCAGATATTTTCTGGTTGGCTGAAAAAACAATCCATGGGATTACTGTGCGACCAGGAGGCATCTGGCCGTGCTCAAACCTAAAGGAACTCCTCTGACCTGCAAGCTGAGTACCAATGGACAGGTGGGAGCCCAGAGCTCTCCAGGGTCCTCCCAAAGCCACGGTCAGGGCAAACAGGAATGCAACCACAGTTTCCATCTGGACCCCTCGTCTGAACCACTTCCACCTGCACAATTTCAGAACATCCCAGAGCCAGCTTCTGGAGAAGTCCTGGGAGAATCAGAAAGGTGGTAAGGGGAGAACTCACTATGCAGATTAACCGAAAGCATCAATGGCTTCAGTCACTGGCTTCCAGATAAAGAGGAGAGATTAGAGGCAGTGGTATTCTCCAATTCCAACCCAGCAGGGAGGAGTATCCTGTAAAACGAATGCCTATCCTAATGTAACACAGGGTCCTTCAGCTGTGGGTGCTGTTCAACTGCCTCTATAGCAATGTGATCTGTGGGGAGAAGAGAGAACAGAACCCAAAACTTCCATTCATAGAAGCAGTCAGCCGAAAGAGGAACAAAGAATTGCTTCCTGGGAATCACAGCGCAGGCCACAGAGGCTGGATTGAGCACCAGTCCACAGCCCCATTTTCACCAAAAGGTAACTTGCAGTCTACTTGGGGGAAGGAATCCACAGGGCTCCCCAGAGTGCTCTGAGGTACACCTGTTATCAGAGCCATCTCCAAGGGTGCAGGGTCAGAGGAAGCGGGCACACAGCCTGCAGGGGAACTGCCAGGCCCACTCCAGCCTTGGGAGGCACAAGGCCAGGAGCTCTGGGACCTGCTCTCCCAGTTATGCACAGTTAGCAAGATGAAGTGACAGGGCAAAGCAGGAGGCGGAAAACTCAGTAAACAAAGCAGGGAGGAGTTAGGAATGCCACCAAGATTTGGTGCAAACAACAGGGGCTAAGGCCCTTGGGGACACAAAAGGATCACAACTGGCCATGAGTGGGCAGCGGGTAGAGCTCAATAATGCAGGCACAGGCCTAAGTTGATTCTATTTTGAATGTGTTCAATACTAATTTTTTAAAAATGCAGATTCACTGAAGAAATGAAGGTAAACATAAAAGCAAAACCACCCAGTCGTAAAGTAAAAAATAAAAACTACATACATAAGAAAACTGCTAAATGTTAGTGGGAAAACGGAATGAAAAATTGAATTAATTTGGCAGCCAAAAAAATTGAAATGTATGCATATGAAGAGGTCTTCAAAAAGTTCATAGAAAACATGTAGTAGGGAAACAATATTTGTGAGTTTCAAAATTTTTCTGTGCCAACATAAGCTTTTTAAATTCCATTTTCTACAGTCTCTTTAAAGGACCCTTGGATCTCGATCACCTAAGGCAACTACTGTCATCACCTCGGTCTTGTCTGTCTTGCTCCCTTTTGTTCACAAAACAGGATCATATAGTAGTCCACACTGTTCCACAACCTGTTACCCAGCTCCATTTTAATTCATCTCAGGCATTATGCATTATTCGGGTCATTACGTATTTTTTAATGGTATGTCTTGACAGAGTCTTTCATCAAAAGATAGCCACTAGTTCCAAAATTTCTGCTACTATAAGCAAGGCTGTGGTGAACTGGAAAGGAAATTAATTCTAAAGAAGCGATTTCTAATGAGTGACAACGATGCAGAACTAACACCAACTGACAGCAGAAAGGCAAAGAGAGGGTGATGACAGAAATCAGGGGCTTACAGGGCCACACTGTCATGAGCTATTATCACCTTTCCAGGCGTTCCCGATGACAAAGGCTATGGTGGGGAATGAGGGCAAACTTGCACAGGGCTAGACTGAAGCATGCTCGTGGGGTGTACCCCAGCCAGCAGGCCCGGACCAGGTCAGGCAGTGAACCTACCGGCACCTCCCCTGAAATACTCAGAAGACAAAATGCTCCATCCACAGGGGATGGCACAGGAAGGCTCTGCAGCCAGCAGAGTGGACCAGCACTCCAAATATCACTATGGCTCTGTATTCAATCACACTGCTCCAATTCATCTACTCTACAGAATCATGCAACTGGACACTTAGCCTGGTTCACTGGATCCTCCCCCTACCATAACCCCTAAAGAGGAATCCCCTCCCTGCTTCCTGCCAAGAAGTCTGCTTTCTGTCTGTGCACACAATCCAACACCTGAAGTCTAAAATGTTTCATCCTGAAACCAATTCACCAGCTCCTCTGTGAGGCTGGGAGGCATGCGGAAGATGTAAAGCTGACTGCATCCTCGCTGCGGTCCGTCTGGCTCTCTCACACTGCTAGACAACGTCAGGGACCTCAGAGTCAGTCCCACGGCAACAGTCAGCAGCCACACCAGATGGGAAGCCACGGCCACCTTTCCCTCCAGGAGACACCCTGAGTAGGTAATGGGCAGAACCTCAGTGGGATCAGGCAAGAACTGCAGCAACCCATCCTGCTTGCTGTACACCGCCCTGCTCTGTGTCCATCAGTCGACTGTTTGTCTTTCAGCTCAGAAAAGGTATCTGCGGCTCTCCTGGCAAACACGGAGTAGACGCAAGCTATCTGACGCTGGCCATCACTCAGGGAACACCAGCTGCATTCTCCCCAGACCGATCTTCTAATGGCTGCTCGCTGACCCCAACATAAGAGTCCTGCCACACCTGCCTCGAGTCTCAGAGAGCATGAACCCCGACACACACTCCCTGAAGAGCCCTGTGAGAGAAAAGGAATAAACATCCGAGAAGTATGTGCTGCAGGAATGAGTTCAACAGCAATTCTTGTTTTTATCACATGTTGCTCCTACATTGTTTCGCCGCTGGAAACTTATTTTAGGAATGAGCGATGACCAACATTCCATTGATACACTTTACAGAGACCGCAGCCGCTCAGAGCTCAGCTCATTCCTAACCTCTCCCAGGATCCGCACATTGCAGAGAAGTAGAACAAGTCAACAATGCAGTCAGAGATGCTGCACAGTTCTTCTTCCTGGGAGTGCCCAAGACAGCCATCTTTAAGGTCTACAAGCTGTAATGCATAGGCCTGACCTTTACTTCCCACCCCCTGCCCCCTCCTACCCCCGCTTCCTGATAACAGAAAAAGCCCAGTGCATAAACACGGAACAGCTGTCTTCTGGCAAAGCCTGCATCCCATGAACTTCACCACGCCCTGACAGCGGAGAGACACCCAAGCCCAGCCTGTGGATCTGCTTGCTTGGAGCTCTCTCCCGACAGCACTAAGCTCACCCTCTGATGTAAGGGGGGAACCAAAGCCATGCGTGAGGACAGCTCAGCATCTGCCACTTCCTGCAGTAGGTGCCAACACCTACACAGCTCCTCTTGTTCTTGCCCTGTCCAGTGCAGCAAGAGAAGCATGGTTGGGTGGGGGGAAGGGCAGTACCTTGCAGACAGCAGCCTGGAGCACAGCATCAAAACCGCCCTCAGGGGCATCGCGGTTCCGGGACACCCTCTGCTTGCGAACCTCCTCATTGAAGCTGTCAACTCTGTCGGTGAGGGGCAGCAGGTGGCGGAACCCAAAGGATGGCACACAGTTGGGAAACAATTTGTAACTAGAGAGAAAGAGGAAGACGGTCAGTCATTTTGTCCATCTAAATCCCACCCGGGGGCTCTGTCCATGTCCACACAGGGAAGTACCTGGAAGTATTCACCCAGCATCTACCACATGGTGGCACTGGAACAGCTTGGAGGGAGAACCAGCCAAACAACCCAGCCCTTGGCTGTAGCCAGGACAGCGGACGCCTGGGTCAGCCTAGGCAGAGGGAGGTGGACACTGCCCACAGAGTGAAAGCAAGCCCCTCCACACTGGCTTTGGAAGCAGATGGTGGATAATGCCCAGCCCTGGTCTCCTATGACCTCTGGCCTCAACTCCTTAGCTTCACATTTCCTTGCTCACTCTCCTGGTTGCAAATGGACTAAAGCAGTCCTGTTGCCAGTCCCACCTGGTGCCAGGACACAACACTGCGGAGCCATCAATACTGGTAACATTCAGATGTTTGGTTCTCTGGAAGGTTTGTACAGGCTGTGGCAAAAGGCAGCTACTTGCTGCCAGACTACATCCATGTTGTTGTTAAAAGTCCCAGAACATGGGAAAACTGACCAATCAAAGAAGGGCATAAGCACTATAAGGCCAAGCAGAGGAATGGACATGAGCCAAACAGGCACCTGTCAACCCCAACTTTAGTCTCTAAGGTTCTTGATTCCTAACCGCGTGAGAAGCCTGGAAATTAAAAAATAGCTACAGGCCCAGCACGGTAGCCTAGTGGCTACAGTCCTGGCCTTGCACACACCTGGATCCCATATGGGAATGGGTTCATGTCCCAGTGGCCCTGCTTCCCATCCAGCTCCTTACTTGTGGCCTGGGAAAGCAGTTGAGAACAGCCCAGAGCTTCGGGACCTGCACCCATGTGGGAGGCCCGGAAGGGGCTCCTGACTTCGTATAGACTTAGTTCCAACCTTTGTGACCACTTGGGGAGTGAATCCTCTCTGTCTTCCTCTCTGTGTATATCACTTTCCAATAATTTTTTTAAAGGCTACCCAGCAGCTTCTTGAATGGCACCTGGCAATAAGCACTATTCTCTTATACCTCCCAATGGCAGTAACTGCCTTTGCTGCACATTAGGTGACTGGGTCGAGGTTTGGGGGTTCTACAACAAAAGTCAGGGAAGCAGAGTTACCCTGCAAAGCCAACTTCAGGTATGAACACTGCTGCAGCCACAGGACAAAGGAGTGTGTGAGTTCTACGTGTCAGCCACTCCAAGTGACCACCAGGATGCACTGGTGCATAGCAAACAGTAATGTAACAGCAACAAAAATATTCTTCCTGAAATGTTGCCAAGATGAACCACCAGCTCTCCAAAATGCAACTGAAATCATTAACAAACACAGAGTATTCCAACGGAAAATCATATTTGAAAACATGGAAGGAAGCGTGGCCAGCCAACAGGGTTACAGTGCTGCGTCTGAAAGAGCAGGCAATCTCCTTGACACTGTTCTATGGAGAGCCCCAGGGGTGGTCAGCTCCCAACGACAGTTCTCAAAATGTCTGGCTTGATGTATAGCTATGCAGTGTTGATGTATGGCCACGCAGTGTTGGTGTACAGCCATGCAGTGTTGGTGTACAGCCATGCAGTGTTGGTACTCCATGAAGTGTTGAATGTACAGCCATGCAAGTGTTTGATGTACGGCCACGCTGTTTATGTACACCATGCAGTGTTGATGTACGCCATGCAGTGTTGAGTACACCATGCGGTTTGTAGCGCATGCAGTGTTAATGTACAGCCATGCAGTGTTGATGTATAGCCATGCAGTGTTGGTGTACGGCCATGCAGTGTTGGTGTATAGCCATGCAGTGTTGATGTACGGCCATGCAGTGTTGATGTACGGCCATGCAGTGTTGGTGTACAGCCATGCAGTGTTGATGTACAGCCATGCAGTGTTGATGTACAGCCATGCAGTGTTGGTGTACGGCCATGCAGTGTTGATGTACGGCCATGCAGTGTTGGTGTATAGCCATGCAGTGTTAATGTACAGCCATGCAGTGTTGATGTATAGCCATGCAGTGTTGGTGTACGGCCATGCAGTGTTGATGTACGGCCATGCAGTGTTGATGTACGGCCATGCAGTGTTAATGTACGGCCATGCAGTGTTGGTGTATAGCCATGCAGTGTTGGTGTACGGCCATGCAGTGTTGGTGTACGGCCATGCAGTGTTGGTGTACGGCCATGCATGTTTGATGTTCAGCCATGCTGTTGATGTACACCATGCAGTGTTATATGTTATGGCCATGCAGTGTTGATGTACGGCCATGCAGTGTTGGTGTATAGCCATGCAGTGTTGATGTACAGCCATGCAGTGTTGGTGTATGGCCATGCAGTGTTGGTGTACAGCCATGCAGTGTTGGTGTATAGCCATGCAGTGTTGATGTATGGCCATGCAGTGTTGGTGTATAGCCATGCAGTGTTGGTGTACGGCCATGCAGTGTTGATGTACAGCCATGCAGTGTTGGTGTATGGCCATGCAGTGTTGATGTATGGCCATGCAGTGTTTCATAAGCACGTTCACAAGACAAAGGGAGAAAGAGGAGGAGGCAGGCAAAGAGGAGAATGCATGTGAGGGTCCTGCAGCAGGAGGAAGCAGACTAGCTCCAGGACAGAGCAAGACCACGCCACAGGTAGTAAAGCAGCAAGAGGTTGGCAGGGAGACAGGCTGGGTCAAGCTGGCAGGGCCCATGGTGGTGTCAAGGGAGCCTCTCAAACAAGCAGTAGCTGAGAGGCCTGATTCAAGGTGCACACATGCGACGGGAAACAGGTTTAGTAATTGCTAGCAGGCACCTCCCCAGGGCAGGTCCAGGCAGGTGCTGCTCCTTGCAGTGGCAGCCATTCCAGCCCCACAGCACCTGCTCCATCCCTCACCATCACCCACAGGCAGAGTCCCCCATCAGCAGCTGGCTCTATGCAGTCAAGCCTGCAGCACACTGGCTGCAGTCGTTGCCTGGGGCCTTCCTTCCTTCCTGGCCAGATGCTGCTCTTGTCCCTTCTCCTTCCCCACACTTCCTTGTGCTGGACAGGTCAGCCTTTATAAACCTAAGTCTCAGACCTCCCAAACCTTCACATGTTCCTCTTCGAAAAAGAATAATAGAGGTCCCCTCTGCAGCCCTCTGCTTAACAAATCCAGAGTCCAGGTCCAAGGCAAGGTGTCTGAATTCCTGCTTCCTCTCCTAGCTCTAATGCCCCTGTGGTACTCTGGCCCAGGATTTAGAACTCTGTGTGGTGGCGGGGGAGGAGGCAGGGGTGGGAACGGGCACAGGCAGGCAGGCAGGCTGTAGAAAGACAGGAGCAGAACTGAATCACGCTACTGTTTTAGTAAGTAAAACCAGAACGGTGAAAAACTCACATGAACCTCAGCATTTTTTTTAAATCTCCCTGAGAGCTCTACTTCCTGCAGATACCAGTTAAGTAGTAACATTTTTTTTTTTACGATTTATTTATTTTTATTGGAAAGGCAGATATATAGAGAGGAGGAGAGAGGGAGGAAGATCTTCCATCCAATGGTTTATTCCCCAAGTGGCTACAACGACTGAAGCTGAGCCAACCCGAAGCCAGGAGACAGGAGCCTCTTCCAGGTCTCCCGTGGATACACGGTCTCAAGGCTTTGGGCCATCCTCGACTGCTCTCCTAGGCCACAAGCAGGGAGCTGGATGGGAAGCAGGGTTGCTAGGATTAGAACCAGCGCACATATGGGATCCTGGGCGTGCAAGGTGAGGACTTTAGCCGCTATGCTATCGTGCAGAGGCTTTTGTGTTTTTGAGATTTACTTATTTTTAGTGGAACCTCATATTTACACAGAGAAGGAGACAGAGAAAGACCCATCCACAGGTTTGTTCCCCAAGTGGCTGCAATGGCTGGAGCTGAGCCAGTCTGAAGCCAGGAGCCAAGAGCTTCTTCTGAGTATCCAACGCAGGTGTAAGGTCCCAAGGCTTTGGGCCATTCTCTGCTGCTTTCTCAGGCCACAAGCAGGGAGCTGGAAGGCAAGCGGAGCAGCCAGGATAGAAACAGGCACCCATATGGGATCCCAGAGCATACAAGGCAAGGATTTAGCCAATAGGCTATTGCGGCAGGGCCAGGAATGGCATTTTTAAAAAATATTTATTTATTTTTATCAGAAAGTCAGATATACAGAGAGGAGGAGAAACAGAGAAGATGATCTTCCGTCCAATGATTCACTCCTCAAGTGAGCACAACAGCTGATGCTATGCCGATCCGAAGCCAGGATCCAGGAACCTCTTCCGGGTCTCCCACGCGGGTGCAGGATCCCAAAGCTTTGGGCCGTCCTCGACTGCTTTCCCAGGCCACAGGCAGGGAGCTGGCTGGGAAGTGGAGCTGCTGGGATTAGAACCGGCGGCCACATGGGATCCCGGGGGTGTTTAAGGCAAGGACTTCAGCCGCTAGGCCACGCCACCGGGCCCAGCAATGGTATTTTTTACCTGCAAAGGACGACTACTGTGGAATAATCAAGAACTAGAAAATGTGTGTACCAGAGAAGACTTCCTGCAGAGAATGGACCACACTGTTTCCGGGGAAGAAAGCAGCTTTGTCACACAGATCATGCAGTGTCTCCGGGGTTGTTGGAGCAGGATGTTGCCCATAGTGGATTGTGTATCCCACTCCTGAAAGATGTCCCCTGAGGGCAAGTTGTGGCAGTGCCTGAGACTATCCCACTCACCCTTTGTGCTGCTGAGCTCCAGGTTAGGGCCAAGCACATCTACAGAATTCAGGATTACAAACCAGAAGATTGAGAAATATATATTATAAAAGAGCTGGTAGATGTATATTTGCAAAAAGTGACTTCAGTTGGGGCCTAGCGGCTTAACTCCTAACTTTGAATTTGCCTGGATCCCATACAGGCACTGGTTCTAATCCTAGCAGTCCTGCTTCCCATCCAGGTCCCTGCTTGTGGCCTAGGAGAGCAGTCGAGGACGGCCCAAAGCCTTGGGATACTGCACCCACGTGGGAGACCGGGAAGAGGCTCCTGGCTTCGGATCACTGCAGCT